TGGTTTTATTATCTTTTTCACTTTTTTTAGTTTTTCTCTTGTATGTATATAAAGATTTATGGTATGTATATATAATAAAGTTATTAATAAATTTTATTTTTCACATTTGTTTGAATTTTTTTGTGGCTCTTAATTTTTTTTGTGTTTTTTGTGTTTTTTGTATTTTTTGTATTTTAAATTTATTTTTAAATTATTTTCTTACAGAAAGATTAGGCCTAAAATTACGTATATTTTTTTTCTTTCAACTTTTCGCTATTAATTATATCGAATTATTCCACAATTTGTCCTTGCTTATCAATTAATTTTTGCAAATTTTCAAATTAAATGTTTTTTGAATTTATTAAGAATTTTTTTTAAACTAATTTTGAGTTTAGCTTTTGAAAATTTTTAAAAAGAAAACGAATTTAGTCCTACTATTTAAATATTGAAAAATATGTAGTAAAGTTTTATAGAAAAATACATATTCGTTCCTGCCAATTGAATCAGTAATGAGTACATTGAATGAATCCTTGCTCCACCATTAGGTGGCTTTATCAATGGAAAGTGGTTCTATTTGTTTTTCGTATGTTTCGTTTTTTGCTTTACGTTTTGTTTGGAATAAATATATTTATTATAAGCTTACTTAGATCGATATACAAGAATTTCTACATAAGGATCATATGTATATATTTTCACACACACATATACATATATATATATACTTTTATTTTGGATTTATATTTAATATCTACATATTCAACGTATTTATTAATATATATAAATATATATGTATATATATATATATTATGACTTTGGTATATATTTAGTTACCGCATTTTACAAGTTCAGTAATAATTACGGATTTTCAATCCCCCACGTCCTTTAAACTAATATATATAACTTAATAATTTCACTAGTTCACAAATTATTTGCTCAATTACAATCTCAGATATTTTAAGGAAATTTAAGATAAATTGATTTGAACAGATTTCGTAATTGAATTTTGAAACTTAATTGCATTTTTAGTGCTCAAGTTTTTTTTTTTTGTTTAATTTTTTTAGAAAAGTGAGTCATTAGATAAATTTCATACAAAACTTGCATTTATATCTGCAATATAAATTTGACAATTTGTGCTTTTCAAACATCAAATTTAATTAACATTCGGTATACATAATATCCTTTTCATTCTATCTTTTTTTAAAAATAAACTGAATTTTGAAATACCAATTTTTTTGCCTTTAAAAAAAAAAAGATTGCACCAGTGTTGTCGGTTTTTTGTACAAAATTTCTTAAAAAATGGAAATATTTTCTAATCAAAAATATATAAAAATTTTAGTTCGAAGTTTTTAGTAGTTTTTATTGAGAATTGTTGCTGTTAAAAACAGGGTTGGTAAATTAATAAATAAGAAAATCATTTCTAACTGTTTTGGTAAATCTTTGTCTAATTTTTTACAAGTTTTTTTTTTGTTTATTTTTTTATATAATTATTATTTTTATAATCTTATATGGGAACCACACTCTATACTTAATGCAATATATATTTACTGTTTTTCTACATGTACCATTATATTATATACAATTTTATTAAATTTATATTAAGTTTACAATCTCATTTATTATTTTATTATTATGCATAATTTCTTAAAAATGTCATTATATTTTTATGTTTTTATTTTTTTTTGAGTTGTTTTATATTCGAAATTGCCTTTCAAAAATTAATTTGAATTTATAACTTAAGTTAAGTGTATTAATTTAATTTACAATATATTATTTGATTTGCTTTCATTATAATAACCAATATCATTACGTATTTGTATATATAATTAAATAACTTATATAAATTTGAGGTCACATGAGTTGGTTTTGTTGAGTTCTCTTAAATAGTTTTTTAACTTTCTTCCTGTTTTCTAAATAATAACAAAGATTAACTAAGTATTTCTAAGGACATGTAATTTATAATTATTTTTATAATTTTTTTATAATTTTTTCATTGATTTTTTATTTTATTTTTGTGCAAAAAACATAATTTTAGTTAAGTGGAAAATTGCCAATTAATTTTAATTGTTTTTTTCTTTGTTTTTACTCTTGCAGAAATCCGAAATTGATGAAATCATTACAACTAATTAAGAACATTTTGATCAAAGGTTTAAAGTATCTATACTATATATTACCAAAACATATTTAATTTTTTCATAATTTTTATTTTTAACAAAAATCGCTTCATCTTGCATATATATCTTTATGTATAATTTCTTATAAATATATACAAATAAATCATGTTTCAAAGTGAGAGATTGTGTTTAGTTCTCATAGCTTCGTTCATTAGAATAATAACTGTATCTTCCATTTCCATAGCTTATATATATATATATATATATATATAGATACATATATATAATCTTTGTTAATTGGTTTATTGAGGACTATTTGGTGGTGTGATTTCATCACCTTCTCCGCCTGAACCAGGTTCGCCTTTTGTTTTGTTCTCCTTTTTCCACTTCATGCGACGATTCTGAAACCAAATCTTGATTTGTCTCTCAGTTAGGCAGAGAGCATGAGCAATTTCAATGCGTCGTCGTCTTGTCAAATAACGATTGAAGTGAAATTCTTTCTCCAGTTCCAGGGTCTGGTACCTTGTGTAAGTTTGACGACCACGTTTACGTTCTGTTGGTAAAAAAGAAGAATAAAAAAATAAGTACAAATTTTTAATAGTAAAAATAATTCTAATTTTACACAACCAACTAAGCTACAAAAATTATCAAACCAAAAATCAAACCACAAGAATTAAATATACAAAAATTATAACAACTAAAAAAATATTGTTTAGGTTTTAAGTAATTTTTAATATTTGACTTGATAAGGCAGCAAAGAAACATTTTATAAAGGCAACCGCAAGAGCAACTTGAATGGTGAGGCGAAACGAAAGAAAGATCAAAAGACGACCTTACCGAATCGCTGCGTATTTGTACTTGTCAAAATCTCAACATGTGAGAAGTTCTTTTTGGGTCTGTTCGGTTTCCATTCGTTTGGAGTTTTGTGGAATCTTATTTTTGAATCTTTTACTTCATGCATATTTTGAAGTTGAATCAGACATTAATCCACATGCATTTCCTTTAAGCATTTCCAGTCTTTTCTATTTTTATTATTTTTTTCCCTTTGTGCTTTATAGGATTAGAGTCTAGCATATTTGTTTAATTACATATGAATCTCAGTCAAATACTGACTTATAAAAATGGAAAACAAAATGCTTTTTTCATATAATTGCTCTTAATCCAAAGTAATACCTCATAAAAAGTGGATAATATGGTGGTTTATCTTACTATATAGCAGTTTATAAATATATTAACTTTAAAACACTATTATTAGAAAAAATTATTAATAAGCCACACATATTAAGTCTCATCCACATATTAAGTCTTGCAATATAATGCAGTATAATGGTGTAAATTCAGTTAGCAGATAGGTAGATAGGTATTACTTATGGAGAAATTCTTAAAATTATTATGATTTATTAATAACTAGACAACTTTGTGTTTAAGCTATATGCTCTCAAAGGATACGTTTTGCAAATGAATTCGATCCATTAGTAAGTAGACCCAGGTATGTTTAAGCTACATGCTCTTTAAGACGAGGTATTGCAGATAATTGAAATCAATTAGGAAGCCCTTCGTTTTATGTCTAATCTAGATACTATTTAAGAAAAGATCCTGAACCTTACCACGATCTCTTAGAAATCAAGTTTTAGTATATATACTCTTTACAATTATTATGCATCGAATTTTCCTCAGTGATGAAGCGCTTTACATCTGTGGTAGTAAAACTTCACAAATAACTGTCAAAAGACCTTTGCATCTGCAAAAAGTTACTATATGATTATTATTATTACGATTATTTATTACGAGAAGTGAAGATGTGGATATATACTTTAACAGAACCATGTGAGAAGAAAAAAGTTCTATCTTGATTTTGTTACTTAAGAAAATTCTAAGATGTGTGATTTCACAACTTGGTGATGTGACTTAGTCACCAAAAGCATACGATCTGTGGTGACAGCCACTGGACGTTTTTTGTAGGGCTACGCAATAGATCGAGTTTATGCTGGCAATTCTCAACTATGAAGGCTTTAGAATTAAGAATCTTTCAAGCTATGTCCAAGAAAGAATGCAGCGTCACGAACAACTGATGCTCAAGCTGGTATGAGTTATAGTTAAGCTTTAACCAGCTATTTGCAGACAAATCATCAAATACTACTTACACAGGAACAAGTATTATGAGATATTTCCTAAAAGACCTTTATATGATATAAAATTTCCATTCCGTGGAAATATAGAAGCAAGGTATTTTTTTTATTATAATTTTCAATTTTTAAATTCAATATCTATTCTGTCAAATAACGTCAAACGACATTTAAGAAATTTTTGGTAAATAAAAGATATTTCAGGTATGATAATTTCCAATTAAGGTGATTACTACTTTTTAAAATAAATATTGTATTTTAAGATCTGAAACAAATATTAAAATTGAAATTTTCTTAGAAATCTCAAACCCAAGGGTCTTTTTTATTACTTTATATGCGTATACACAAAATCCTGGGTTAGCCTGTACAGTATAATATGTACTGAAATTGTTATATCAAAAATTATGTATTAAATTAGATTTAAACTAATTATGATGTTATGTTTGCAGCGACTATTTTAATTTAATAGTGAGGTTTCGAACAACAGTGAATTGCAACAACAAAATGTTTTATTTATTTTTTATTAATTATAAATTTTATTAGTAGTTCAACCCTTGGTATTTGCAGTGTCAAAAATTAGTTATGAATAATTAAACAGAAGAAATAACTCCAAGAGCACTGATGATGGGTATATGAAAAGACATGAAACTGTTGTAAAGTCAGCCAAAACTTCAACTACTTAAGCATAGATAAATAATTTTGTTGTTGCAATTCACTACTGTTTGAAGCCTCTCTATCATAAAATAACAAAATTTTACATATAATATTATCTGATAATATTGATACGAAAACTTGAACCAAAATTTAGTTTAAATAACATTTTTATGTTATGGTGCGATAAGCAAATTTGATAAGTCGTTTGATTAAAAAATTTTTGCTTTCTAAAAAATTTAGTCGAACAAATTTTGGGTTGTTTTCCGAAAAGAAACTGTCGATTAATGATTGTACAGAAACAAAAAGCATAATGATATAAATAATTATGCCGAAAGCAGCGGTGTCAAAATGTATTTCCTCAGCATACAACCAAAAAAAAAATATTTTTTTTTTAAAATATGTCACAAGAGTTTTGTGTAATGAGATGGTCTATGACATTTTACCATGTCAAGCGTGGGAAACGCTTGAAATCGTGTAAAAAAGCTAACAGTAAGTGTTGATATATAGGTCTCAGACACAATTCAGGAAAATATTCAGTTAATTTTTATTTCAAATTTCTGCTATGATTTTATTTTTATTTTTATTTTTTCTTATGATTTTAAAAATCTTTTTTTTTTGCTTTATAATTTTTGTATTGTAAAAAGTCATGCAACCATGAAAAATCTTTGCGGTTTTTCTTTCTTTCTTGTTATTAAGTTTCGGTCATTATATAAAGGGTTAATCTTTATTGGTTGAGCTACCGTTTTTGCCTGCCACAAAGTTCAAAAGGCACCAATTGTTGCCTATAAAATAGGACTCGACCACGCCAAAGCTCAATCAAGCACAAACAAGACTTGCCCGGGCTATGGAATTACTTCATAAACTATTTTTAATTGCGATATAGTTTTTTGTACGAGTATCTGAACAGTTCATTTGCCGCTCTTTTGATTTACACAAGGTAACACATATCGAGCCGTCGTAAGCCATTGAACGACAAAAAATATTGAAAATGGTCGCTTTACGGAGCAGAGGAAAAAAGTGCCTTCTTAATGATGCGACTGATGCCACGTCTATAACCAAAGGCTACGTACGTAATTTTTTTCGAGTGAGCGATTTTTATTTAAAGAAAGTATCTACTATAATGCGGAGATACTGTAAGGCGGAGATTAATGAGGTTTAGATTTCATTTTTCAATGTTTAAATATTACAAAAAATATGCTTGATGTGTGAGGGATAAATTAAAGATACTCTTAAACCAGTTAAGTTAAAGAGAATGAAATGAAAAACATTGCATTGTATGTATAAGAAAATTTAATTACTTTTTGAATTAATTACTTTTGTTATTAAAAGTCATTTTAATTTAATTTTAATTTAAATATTGACACTTTATAATGATAAATGCTTTATTATTCTGTGAATAAATTGAAGGATATTGAAGGTTACAGTAATAATAACTCATAGTCAAACTCCTAGTTCTAGTCCTAAAATAGAAAGGATAAAATTTACAGTACAGCTGCTATAGGAATATGAAGAGAACTAGGCTTAATTATATCTAAATATAATTTATATATAGGCAGATATTGTTTTATTTCCATATACACAGAATAAATACAAATAAGTTAGGGGAGCCCGAAAGTCGATGTAGTTTAAATCAACTAATAAGACTATTTATATTTCAATTCATATTTTTATGTTTTATTGTAAATAAATAATTAAATATGCATATTTATTTTACCACATGCTAGACCTTATATCATCATTCACCCTTATGTGTCGTAGATAATTACTTTATTAGCAGATGAATTTTATCATGATGCTTGTAATCTTTGAAGTAGATGTAGTATATCATATAAACTATATGCATATACACAATGCGATGAATCAATCGTATATCAGTCTATTTTCTTATTCTCGACTATAAAGTAAAGTATGAAGTAAAGTATATCAATATCTTAATCCTGAACTATAAGGTTAAATATTATAGGTTGCCTACATCACATAAGGTTCAAAAATAACAATTTAAATTAAAATAATTCACATTTCATTTTATAATGAAATAATGTTCATAGTTCATAGTTCATTATTATTTCAGCTCAAGTGGGCGTTCTTGAGTACAAGACCGCCACTCCCACCTAACCTTATAGATATAATAGTTAAACCGCTCGTAAGCCAGAGGGTTTATGAATATCAAATATTAGTGCTTCAAATAAACTAAGTGCTAAACTAAAAATCAGAAAAATATCTGTATATACTTATCTGGATTTCCAGATAAAAATATTGAAATTGACCACTTTTGAAGCAAAGAAAATACTTTATATGCCGATATAGTAAGTCAGTAGTGAAATCTAGTATTCTCGTTATAGGTTGTAACAATTAAAGGAAGAGGTTTCTAATGCTTAGAAATTATCGGTAAACAATTCCTTCTTTCAACAATTCTAGTCTTCATACTGCCTTCAATGACATATCATTGATATATTTATATATTATATAATATTATATTATATATTATATAATATCATATTATATATAAGCCTCAATATATATACTAACACATATCATAAGTTGAATATAACATATAGAAAATATCACAAAAATTCTACTTTTCAACAACTCTCATAATGTCACTAATTATGGAAGGATAGTAATTGAGTGTAATTGGATATGCCCATATATATAATATTTGACAAAAATCAATAATCAAATTTTTTTTGAACAATTTTGACTTTTTACTGAGCATTGAAGACTTTTACTGAGCATTGAAGACTAATAAGATACATAAATGAAGCCTGGCTGAAAATGTCGATGGTTTTCTGAATAAATATGTAAAAATATCTTTCTTCAAAGTCCGATATATATGGTGGTACGTTGGGACAGCGGACTGTCCAACAAGTGGCCCCACTGAAGTGAAGGATTAGCCGAAGTAGATCACGAGACTCAAAGTCCGATAACTCGCAAACTAATTTTTAAGTGTGTTGACATATAGAGTACTAAAAAAAGTTGCTCAGAATAGTTATTTTTACTAAAATCTGTTGTCAAATAGACGTGTCTGGGAACTAAAAAACGTGCTCCAATTATAATAACTTTAAATTTTTTGAAAATATTTCCAAACGTTGTAATTTAAATTATTCCATATTAAATTTGATTTAAGGTCAAATTTTATTTTAGTAACTATTTTACTTAATAGAAACTATTATATATAATAGAGTAGTTTCAAAGAGTAGTGAACTACAACAACACAACCCCCCTTCGACACCTCTCTATTGAATCTTTTTAGGCATGAAGTCTTTTATATCCGAAATTACTACTCAACTATATTTTCATACAGATTTCTGTAATTATACATATTGTGTCTATACCGACATTAAATATCTTAAGCAATATTGCTCGCTTAATGCTAATGCTACAAAAATGAAATAAATTTTAAATATTAAAAAAAAAAAAAAAACTTAAACAAATGCACGGCGCCAATTTGTAAATCATCTTTTGAAAGTGATAAATTTGATCAAAGTGTGATATAAAAAAAATCATCTGGAGACGGAGACGGCAGAAAAGGTGCTTATACGTATATTGTTTGCATGAGTGAATGAATGAATGGCTTTTGACCATGATTGACTACCCAACTAAATGTACGAAAGTAGGTGCATTGAAAAATTATTATAAACCCATTATTGCCGGGTAGCCGAGCGTTAGGCAGATACGCGTTAACACAAACGTTATTAAAACCAATTCACAATGGTCATTTTAAATGAATCTAATATGTATGTAAGTTCCACCCAAAAATTCGAAAACTCAAAAATTCTTCAAAGTGAAGCCAACTCGTATCGCTCGTTTGTTAAATGAGGAGTATATAATATACAATTAATGTGTTTACTACAGTACCAGTGCCAGTGCCAGTGCCAGTGCCAGTACCAGCGCTAGTGCTAGTGCCAGTGCGAGTACAGAATATACATACAATCGCACATCGTATAGAGCGTACAAAGCTAATCATACACTTTGACGTGGATATAATGTTTTTGATATGAAAGCATATTGTAATTAAATTGCGATTAGGCCACCATTTTAGTTTTTTATTTTTAATTTTTTTTTTAATTTTCATATATACTTTTGTTTGTGAATATTTCTCATTTTATTTCCATATTTTTTTTTTTTTTTGTTGTACCCAAACCGGGCAGGTTTGTTTGTTACGCGCTCGAAGGAAATCATTAAAATAATTACATTTTATGAGTTTTGTTGTAGACAAAAAAAAAAATTATTATTATTATTTAATTGTTAAACAAAATTAAAGTTTTAGCCTTTTACTAAAAACTAAAAATAAAATAATTACAATTTACGTTGTAGAAAGGCAACTGCAAACGTTTACTTTCGAATTTCATTGAAGATATTCGTACTTTCAGTTGCTTGTTTTTTTTTCTTTTATTTTGTTGGGAGTAAGAAATTTTTTTTAGATTTATTGGATTGGTTTCACTCTAAAAGAAATTAAATTTAAAAGGTTTAATTCAAGAACACATCATATTAAAATTCATTAATATTTAAGCTTACTGGAAGAGATGAGAGCGAACTCAGAGAATTGGCAAATGATAGATTCACTTGAATCGTGTGAGATTCATGTCTTCAGTCTTCAAAGTAAAGAAATGAGACCCAGAAAGGCGAAGCAAACATTAGGGTAATAAATAGAACAGACACCGAGGGATGCGGTGAAAAAGAAGAGGTCTGGACGCAGATTAAGCTTAGTGGAAAAGATGTGAGCCAACGCTGAGAACTAGCGAATAATAGAGTCATATGTGATTGAAGGCCTCAAAGCAAAGAAATTAGACCAAGAAAGTAGAAGCAGAAATTAGTGTAATAAATAGAACAGCCACCAAGGGATGTGGTGAAAAAGAAGAGGTCTGGACGCAGATCAAAAATACACTTTATTAATAAATAAGCTTAGTGGAAGAGATGAGAGTTAACCCAAAGAACTAGCGTATGATAGAGCCATATGTGATTGAAGTCCTCAAAGCGAAGAAATTTTGATAAATAGTTATAGCAGTAATAAATGGGACAAATACCAAAAATTGCAGTGAAAAAGTAGAGGTTTGGACGCAGATGAAAAATCAAAAGAATATGTCTTGCAACGTCTTTATAAAAGAAACCTTCCACAAAGTATTGTGAAAACGGTTCCAAGGTGGAATAAGTCTCTCCAAAGAGGGAGTGTTTTAGTCAGTATACCTTATATGAATATGCTAGAGAGTCGGGCACATCATACCGACGATGGTCGGTTCGATGATGTATATAATAGTTCATCGCCTCACCACAAAAAAAATAAAAAAAGAAGTATCTTAGCTTGAAGTCATCAACGTGGTTACGATAATGGTGTACAAATCCTTTACAATTATAGTTTAAAAATTATGGAGCGCGGTTTGATTTTATTCTCAAACTTCTTTAAAATAAATACGAAACATTGAGTTTGACTGGAAATGACTGCCTTTGGAGAAAGAACGTTCAAATAATATGAGCTATTTAAGATTGTG